GGGACGTGTCTTCCGTAGGAACCTCTCTCAGGCAGCCGCGTCCCGCCCCTCTCTCAGTCCAGTGTCTGCAGCAGCCTCCTACGCTGAGGAACAACACAGGAGTGCGCAGTGTTTATAACTCAGCTCTGGGCAGTCCCAGTGCGGTTCTCTCAGCCTCGAGAGGAGAAGCTGCATTTGGATGCAAACAGGCTGCAGATCCGAGCCAGTCCAGCCGACGTCTCTCTTACCGTGTCTGCACTTCTGGGCTCTTTTTTCAGTGTTAGGGGTAAACAGCAATTAAGGGATATTCCCCAAAGGGAGAGGAGAACTTTTGGGCTCTGGGTTGCGTAAGGAAGGAATTGGCTGCTCTGTGCATTTGTGCGTATTTAAGAAAAAATATAGTTAAGTAGTTAGAAAACGGGGGATAACGCCCAGGTTTCCATAGGACTGGGTACCATGTAAATACCCTGGACTCATTGGATTTGTTCTCCCCATCTCGGTTCATTCCTTCCCAGTGTCTCCCAGGTGCATTTGAAATTTGAGGTTCCTGGCTCAGCCAGGCTTCCCAGTACTGCCCCAGCTAGAAGGCTCAAGGATTCCCAGAACTAAACCCTCTGCCTGGTCTTCTGCCTAATGGGGGGTATTTTTCCAGTGCGGAGAACCTGGGTTTCCAAGCACTTGAATGAGATGGAACGAATTTTCGCCTGAGCCCAAAAAGGTCAAAGAAAATCTCCGTCTCTCTCTGCTGTCTCCTGACACTGGCAGGAGCGGGGCCTGAGGCTGCCCTCGCTTCTTGAGAGCCCCTTTTTTTCTGACAAAGGACATCGAGTTTGGAGTCTGGTTCAGGAGGGTATAGAAACCCTCAGCCAAAGCTTTGCATATTGAGGCTCCATTGTGTCTCCACACACTCAACTAGAGCCCTTGGCTGTGCAGGAGGCAGCCAATTCCAGGGAGGCTGCATGGCATGGAGCTGCCAACCAGGGCCTGACTGGCATGTCCATACACCTCTCAAATAGTTTTCCTAATTGCGTTATATGGGGTCAGCAGTGAAATATTCTCTGAGTCCCTCTCTCAACCCCCTTCCTTTAGGGCATCCAAATGCCCACGTTCTCCACCATATCTGGTAGGGTGATACTGCTGCGGCACCTCCTGCTGGCTTTCCTGGGAATCAGCACTGAGCCCTCCCCTGGTGGTGTCTCTTCCACTGTCACTTCCCTTCCTGGACTCATATCACTGCAAGGGCCACAGCGTCTCTTTCAATGACACCACCTCCCAGCCGTGTCATGTCCGGGTTCCTCCTTCCACAGGGATCGACAGATTCTGCACTGCTCTTCCCAGGATGCTAACCTCACACTCACTGCAAGGCCACCAGTTCTCTCTCCTTCAGCTCCTTCAGAAGCTGCTCTGCTATACAACCCTTCTTATACAGGCTTGCCCGGGCTTGATTGGCTGCTCTGTGCTGCTCTAATTGATAGCCTGCTGCATAGCCTCCCTCGGACTCTGTGGGTCAGTGTGGGTCAGCCACCCCATCACAAGCCATTAACATGCTAATTTGATGAAGGGAAATGGGGAGATGTAATACTTTTAGACCATTGTCAATTGTTTGACCTAGTACCAAGTACATTTTGACCTAGTACCTAGTACATTTTGATTAAAAAACTAGCTCTAGATGGTGTCACTACAGAACTCATTGGGGTATGTCTAGCCTGCATCCCTCTGTCGGCAGAGGAATGCAGATTAGGCAGGTCGACAATGCAAATGAGGCAGGGATTTAAATATCCCGTGCCTAATTTGCATAAAAATGGCCACTGTGTTTTGCCGACTCAGCACTTTGTCGGCAAAAAGCGGCAGTCTAGAGAGGGATCTGTCGAGAAAGAAAGCATCTCAGCAGGCATAAGGGAGCTGTCGAAAAAGGCTTTCTCAACAGATCCCCCTCTAGACTGCCACTTTTTGCCGACAAAGTGCTGAGTTGGCAAAACGCAGTGGCCATTTTTATGCAAATTAGGCACGGGATATTTATGTGTGAGCAAGTAAGGAATGCATGAGAGGTAAGTGTAAAGGTTACCTGTCCAAATGTTCAAAGAAGAAGCTGAGAACAGATGCAAAGAGGCCGAAGTTTGCTGTATATCCCCAGCAAGATGTAAGCAGTGGGCAAATTGATGGGACAAAACATTTATGATCGAAACCAGCTTCGCATGGCAGACCAAGGAAGGTAAGGTGCAAGAAACGTAGCTTCGTTAGAAAACCAGCATGACGATGCAAAACCCAGTGATCCTGATGGCAAAGAGGAGAACTGTTATTATACAAGGAGAACTGTTTTGTCGTAAGAGTGGAGACATCCTGCCATGACTGGAGCATTGGTCCAGGCCAATAGACCCCTCATTCCTCCTCCCATGATCAGTGGGGTTGGCCATGGACCATGGACTGATAAATATAACATCGATTGGAAGGACTGTGTGTGGGTGTGTTTGTCTGTCTGGGTGTGTCTAGACTACATGCCTCCGTCGACGGAGGCATGTAGATTAGACAGATCGGCAAAGGGAAATGAAGCCGCAATTCAAATAATCGTGGCTTCATTTAAATTTAAATTTTAATGGCTGCCGCGCTGAGCCGACAAACAGCTGATCAGCTGTTTGTCGGCTCAGCGCGGCAGCCATTAAAATTTAAATTTAAATGAAGCCACGATTATTTGAATTGCGGCTTTATT